TTACAATTTCTTGGCTAATTTTATGAAATCGAAAACGCAATATTTGGTGATGAGCAGTCCTGTGTAGTGAAGGGCCATTAAAATATTGTTCTATATTATCACAAGGGGGAGGTTTCTACACCAGCCAGAAGAACAAGGATGGCATTGATGGAACAGGCTCAAATGTTTATTATTGAAGGTTGTAAAGAGATAAGGAAACTCAGGAATGCACATGGCCGTGGTGATGTGGGAGATGGCAGGGAGGAGGGAGATTGTAGGAAGGAGGGAGGGAGGCCAAGACCTTACATGGTAATAGGAACTTACTATAATTTTCGATTTACAAGAAATCAAGCTGTTTACAAGAAATCAGGTGGTATTGTATTCTGCAAATGTATAAAAAACTGCCTCACTCAGAATTCGGGGGCAGACATCGGGCAACGCGTGTCTGTACCATTTTTGTCATGACAAAATAAAGGGATTTTTCCTGCTGTCATTTTGACTCTTTCAAGCGTCTCTATTGCTCCAAGGATCTCATCAGATAAGGGCGTCATAAAGAATGTCCTTCATGTATGAAGTTAGCACATGTCAGATCCTCTTAACAGAGGATTGTGGGCTGACTGCAGGACACCCCCTCTTTAGTGCTGGTGTCCCGCTTCGCAATGGAGTATGGCTCCCCAGACACCCCGGGGAGGTGCTCCAATGGGAGCGCAGGGAATGCTGTGGGGCCTATTTAAACCGCGGCCCGACGCTCATGTGTCATTGTGTCTTTATTTCCCAAGGGGGCTGGATTGTGGACTTGACGCACAAGCAAAAGACTATGTCCATCTTCATGTTTCCTTCCCATTAGCTCATTATGCTTACGCAGAACCTCAGGGAGCAAGTACAGAATCTGATTAGAAAGTAAAAGTATAAGTTAGACGTGCAGGAACCCCTGAATTATAGATTTCTCCACCTCTTCTCAAATGCATTTAAACATATTTAAATGGGAAATCTTTCTGGGTGCAAAATACTGTTAGCAACTGGGGCCCCATCTGCAATATACCGGTACATTTAAAGCCATCTTGTTCAGCCACGACTCCCCTCCCCACCAAATCCTGAGATCTGTTGCTTGTTAAGGATGCCGAGAGTTGTTAGGAGCTTCCTATTCCCCTCACAGAGCAACAATTTCCAGAGTGGTGTTACAATAAATTCCTCTTCCCTAATGTACTCTGGGAATTGTAGCTTCATGAGAGGAATAGGGGTCTTCAGAGGAAGCCATGACTGCTTAAAGTTAAATTATACTGCTTTAAATGTACAGTACAGAAAGGGCCAAAAATGTTTAGCATTTCTGGGGTGCAGCACATTCTAATGTGAACTACCATTTTGCTTTCAAGTTTCTTGTGTCTTATTTTAGGTTTGAAGCAACCTTCATCTGAATCCTTTAATGGTAGGGATCTTAGATGTGGATTCCAATTCAAAATGTGGTGCACTGTTTATTTAAATCTTTGAATTTGGAGAAGATTAAAAATCCCAGTCACCGTTCCCAATTGACTTTGAGAAAATATCAAGCTTCAATTGATGGAATATTATCTGTGCTTTAAAAATCCTAAATGTAAGACTTCTCCCAGTGCTTCCAGCCATTGTCTGTATATTTTCTATTTTGTTTTTTAATTGGAAAGATAAAGTTATCGCTGTTTGTTTAGAAATCATTCTTCACTTGTTTTATCGCTTGACTAGAATATGTTTGTATTGAGTATGCCTTGCAAGAAAACACCTTATGAATTATTTTAAAGCTCTTTTTTGCTCCTTTGTTCTCTTCTAGGTCTCTTGAAATGTTTTGCTGCAAACCCTTTTCTGTGCACAAATTGTATCACTCATTTTTCAAGAAAATGTTATGCTTTTATGCAGAACAACAAAAAACTACTATTATTGTTTACTTGGATATTAGTCACTCTTTGTTCTGTGCATAGGATTCCAACCTGAGTCTGAAATGAATGAGTATATTGTGACCTGATAATTGAGCTAACAAGCATTTGTATATATGTCCTCTCAAGTGATATTTACTAGGGGGTAGGGAAAATATAGGAACAAAGGCATTAGCTCTGATTTTAAAGCCCACAACTTCTTAAAAAATCAGAAAATTGAATTACCTGGTATAAATGGAAAGTTGCTGCACGCTGTTCAAATGGAGTTCAGCCACGTTACGTGTAAACATTTTCAAGGACTCCTTGCTTTATACTGAAGCCTTACAATTGATTACATATGAGAGTTCTCAGAGTGGTTTGGGTCAACAAAGATGTGCAGAAAGCAAACGATGAGCAGAACAGAGAATTGTTGCCACAGCATCTGAATTTATAAACAACAAGGCAAGGGGTTGCACTCAAATTAGTCATTACTAAGAGTATACCAATTGAAACTAATGGCCCTAAGTAAGCCATGTCTATTAATTCCAGTGGATCTGCTCTGAGTATGGCTTAGTTGGGTGTAACCCAAGAATAAGGGCAGGTTTCTATATAACAGAAAAATGCAGAAGAGACAGGTGTGAGTTGAGGTGCTTTCTCTCTACTTGCTGTAGTGTGTTTTTACAAACCTGCTCGACCTATTAAGGTGACGCAATCACACACACACACACACACACACACACACACACACACCCTGTGTTATGTACTGAAGTTCTCACCCTGGGCCAGCAGGGGGATACTGTAGATAGTTTTCACTCAGGTCCGCATATGCAAATAAGGGATTGAAAGTGACGTTCAGTGATTGGATAGTTACAGAAAGTTGTTACAGTTGCGTTGTACTGGAGCTCTATATAAGCAGGCTAGCTGAACCCTTCAGTTCTGTTCTGTTCTGTTCTGGCCTGTGAATAAACAAGAGCTGTTTGAAGAATCACTGTGTCATCTGATATGTTCACCCACAACTTAACGCCCTGCCCCCAAATTAAAAATGCAACAAAACTTTTCCCTTTCCCCTCTAGTTAGCTAAAGTGTATTATATGTCAAAGCCCTGAAGAGAGAACTCCAGCTCCCTGAGGAAAATAACATCTTATTGTTTGGGTCTTATCAAGTGCCAGGCTATGCGAAACCATAGGGTTTTTTTGTGTAAATTAAGCCGAGCAAAGCAGAGTTGGCACAGCATCTGAAATTAAGAAAGGCTCATTCACAATAATTGGGGCTGAAGACAGGATTTGCTTGTTTTACAGTGCTCTGAGATGTATTCATTATGGAATCAGTTCTGCTCGTGTATGCACAATTTTTGCAGCTACCACCCAATTATGTCATCGTCAAAATGTTATCCTGTGTCCCCCACGCCCCTTAATCCTGACTTATTCTTTCCAAGGAAATTCTGTCAGAGTTAACAATTCTGTTGTCGGTGACCTGTTTGCGATACCTGACTGTGTCATTCTCAGCATCTTTGGTTCTGAGGCTTCTTGTAGACCTAGATTCCTCTCCCCTTGCCTTTTGTGCTGATTTGTAGCCATGCCGCCACATTCTGTCCTAATTCCTTTTTTTAAAAAAAAATTGTTACAAATTCCCCTTTCTCTGCTTCTTAGCCTCAATAGTTTGCCTTCCGTATGTTACCGCAGCAGCATATGGTCAAAGGAATGTTTCCATACAGGTGTTGCAAATTTGCCCAGATGTAGATACTGTCTTCCCACAAGGAGAAGGCGGAGGCTACAACCTCCCCTTCAGTCAAGATCTAGACTCACCCAATGCCTAAAGGTAAAGGTTAAGGGACCCCTGACCATTAGGTCCAGTCGTGGCCGACTCTGGGGTTGCGGTGCTCATCTCACTTTATTGGCCGAGGGAGCCAGCATACAGCTTTCGGGCCATGTGGCCAGCATGACTAAGCCGCTTCTGGCGAACCAGAGCAGCGCACGGAAACGCCGTTTACCTTCCCGCCGGAGCGGTACCTATTTATCTACTTGCACTTTGACGTGCTTTCAAACTGCTAGGTTGGCAGGAGCAGGGACTGAGCAGCGGGAGCTCACCCCGTTGCGGGGATTCGAACTGCCGACCTTTTGATCGGCAAGTCCTAGGCTCTGTGGTTTAACCCACAGCGCCACCCGCGTCCCTCACCCAATGCCCAACTACCTTACAAAGTTGTGATGATTGCTACGAGGTAGGTGAAAACCAGATGGCCAATGCCAAATGGAAAATTCCTACCTGGCCCCCAAATACAGTGTCCAACTTGATCCATAATGAACTTACCCAAAGTGTTTGTTGTCTCAATACCTGGCTGCAACGCTGTTCACACTTACCTGAGATAGGTTTGCTGGACTCAATTGAATGTGCATCTGAGTAGACATCTATGGGTTGTACTTCCCTTAAGGCACAAAATTCACTATACTTCATTTAGCACATGTGAAAAGGGGAAGGAGGGGCAAATTAGTATTCCAAACTTTATATGTTATTAAGCATAAATGGGTTTTTCAGATTTAAGTGCTAAGGTTCAAAAGTCAGCCGCAGTCATTTTATTATGCAAGAACTTAGCGAAACAAATCATTATCTAAATAAGCTCACTGAGATGGTTATCATTTATGTCAAGAGTGCTATGCACTTAAGCACACTTAGCTCTTTGTTGGCGTGTGACCTTAAGGTATAAGGTAATTTCTTCACCGCAAACTTTGGGGAAATGACTGGTACCTGATTTGGTTCTGAGTGCTAAATCATTTTAAGCTCAACCTTAGCTTTTCTTTTATTTCATAAAATTTATATGCGTTATTTATATGCCTCTTTATTGTAGGAGAAACCTCAAAGTGTTCTTTTTATTTTAAAAAAAATGTATTCAAAGCCAGATATAACAAAGAGCCTTGTGGCAATATGAAGACTAACAAACATATGACAGCATGAGCTTTCATGGGCAATAGCTTACTTTGCCACTGGTAACTACTAAATACGTTCTCAGCTACTGAACCAACAGTAATCCAAAAAAAAAGCAAACATTTCTGGTATTACAGATTTTTCTGAAAATTAAAATTAAACACTAAAATCTTTTATACTGTTTAAAGTTCTAAAATGCTAATCGTTTTCTTTCAACAGAGGAATTCAAGGGCTCAACACTAGTTGAATTAATGAAGAAAGAAGGCACAACTTTGGGGCTTACAGTGTCTGGTGGAATTGACAAGGATGGTAAACCAAGAGTGTCCAACCTTCGTCAAGGAGGAATTGCCGCTCGGTAAATACTTCTCAAACCAAAAAGCAGAACATTGTGTGAAAGCCTTAAAAAAAATCCCAATAACAAATAAGAAAGGTCTACTGATAACTTAAGGCTGGCATATCAGAACAGACACACAGAATGAAACAATTTTTTTGCACCATCTTCTCCCCTGCTTCCCTTGAATGGCTTATGCTTGAAATATCAAAGATCGTTTCAAGATAATTAATTTCCTTTGAATTTGATAATTAACATCGAGACCTATTTCACAGTTAAGAATGTGGTTTTAAAATATGCACAGGATATTTAGGTTGCAGTCTCCCATACAACTTCCTGGGAGTAAAGGTAAAGGTAAAGGTACCCCTGCCCGTACAGGCCAGTCTTGACAGACTCTAGGGTTGTGCGCTCATCTCACTCTAGAGGCCGGGGGCCAGCGCTGTCCGGAGACACTTCCGGGTCACGTGACAAGCTGCATCTGGCGAGCCAGCGCAGCACACGGAAACGCCGTTTACCTTCCTGCCAGTAAGCGGTCCCTATTTATCTACTTGCACCCTGGAGTGCTTTCGAACTGCTAGGTTGGCAGGCAATGGGAGTAGGCCCCATTTAATTCAAGGTTGCTTACTTCTGAGCAGAAATGTGTAGCATTGCATTGTTAGTGACTTGTGCAGAAGACCTCCTTCTATCAGCTGGCTGAAACTGGATAGCAACTGTTTATAAAGTAAAACAAAGAGTTAAGTGGATTGTATTCGAGCTAACTTGTCTAATTGGCAAGGTCTAAATATGTCCAAAACAAGTTAATAACGTACTCCTGCACTATATTTCAAATCAAACTTCACTAAATCAATGAACTTGACTAAATAGGAGAGGAACCATAGCTACAGGACCCATGCAGCCATTAAGCAGGTTGGGGGGATACCAGCTCAGAAGCCCCCAAATTGGCACCCCCGTCACCAGCTTCGGAGGCAGTGGCAGCAGGGCAGGTTAGCCCTTTCTGTTTTGCCTCAAGTGGCAAAATGGGTTCTGCGGCCCCTGCATAGCTCTGTGGTAGAATACAGCCACTCTGTTTCAGTCCTTAGTATCTACAGCATTTTCATGGAGGAGGTGATGTGAAAAATGCCAGCCTAAGACCCTTGAGAGCTGCTGCCAGTTTCTGTAGTCAACAGTGGGCTGTGTACAAATAGTTAGATCTGGTATGGGGCATTTTCCTATGCTCCTAGTCTCTGGGGGCAGTGGCCTGCCTGTTGTTTGCCAGCAAATCTCCTTGCGCCGTGATGGCACTGCATAAATAAATAAAAAAATGCTGAATAGACTAGTATAATGCTATATTACCATTTGGATAATTAGTGTTCAGATAATTATATTTATTATTTTATTAAATTTGTATACTGCCCTATACCCATAGAACTCAGGGGCGGTATATTCTAAATAATATAATTTTTATTAAGAATAATGTGAAACAGTACAAAAGAGAAGGGATATTGGTCACCAGATTCAAAGCAAAATACAGTCATATTTTAACTTGTAAACATTGCAGGTCTTATCCAGCACATTTCAAAGTAATGTTGCTCTCTTTTTTGTTGTTCATTTCCCACATTTATTTTTAATTAGTTTACTAATTACAGCATAATACAGTAAAAAATAAAATAAAGCAGATGTTCAACTTGCCCATGTAACATTTTGTTGTATGCTTACAGAACAATGCTAATAAATTATACGGGCACTTATTCTCCCCAGTATTTGTTATTCTAAGATGTGATTAAAAATACCATCTTTCTATGAATGTATTAACTCATCCATTTCCTTTAATATGTTAGCATGGATAAGAAAACAGTGTTCCAGTTTCTTTCAGACTAGCTCAGGATGAAGTTACTTAATTATTAAGACAAAGTAAAAAACAATAACACAGTTTCACTGAAGAAGATGGTTGCATGTGTGTTGCAGGAGTGACCAACTGGATGTAGGAGACTACATCAAATCTGTGAATGGAATCAACCTGACAAAGTTCCGCCATGATGAGATCATCAGTTTGCTTAAAAATGTTGGCGAGAGAGTTGTATTAGAAGTGGAGTATGAGCTACCGCCAGTCTGTAAGTAATGAGCTCTAAACTGTGATAATTATGTGTGCAAAATACTCTTACATGAGTGAGGTTAATGGGGATGTTCAACTGTTACTGGTTTTTCAAAACTGAAATAGTAAAAAAAAAAAGAAAAGGTAAAGGACCTATGGACGGTTAAGTCCAGTCAAAGGCGACTGGGGTTGCGGCGCTCATCTCGCTTTCAGGCCAAGGGAGCCGGCGTTTGTCCACAGACATTTTTCCAGGTCATGTGGCCAGCATGGCTAAACTCTTTCTGGCGCAACAGAACACCATGACAGAAACCAGAGCACAGGGAAATGCCATTTACTTTCCCGCCGCAGCAGTACCTATTTATCTACTTGCACTGGCATGCTTTAGAACTGCTAGGTTGGCAGGAGCTGAGATGGAGCAACGGGAGCTCACTCCGTTGCAGGGATTCAAACTGCCGACCTTCCAATTGGCAAGCCCAAGAGGCTCAGTGGTTTAGACCACAGTGCCACCACATGCCATGGTTTGGAACGCTTAACACCTTCAGGTGCTGAAATTGGCTTTCTCCCCCACCCCCAGCTCCCACTCTTTCTCTTCACATGATCCAGTTTCAGGTGCCTTGTTGTTTTGTACTAACATGACCATCACTATATGTTTAGCTTCACTCGTCTCAGTCGCTAGCAAATTGCCCATCTGTCTGACTGAGTTAGGATACGTGTGGATAAAAGAAGCTGTGGAAGAGTTGATAACTTCAAGTTGTTTAGCCCCATCACAACATTCTCCTCAAAGAGCAGCACTTTACTCTTCTGTGTATTAATGAATGTTGGCCATTTACTTACATGAAAATAAGAAAAAGCGCTCACACCAGAAGCTAATACTGCACCCTGTGATTTCATTGTGTGGGGTGTGGGGTAGATTCCCCACCACCACCACCCTAAACTAATTTTCTGTTTATTTTGTCCCATCGGACTCAGATCAGCTGGGAAGCAAGGCAGACCTTATTTGAAATGCATTCTTATCCTTTGTCCATACAACCCTTTGTTGGCTTCTGTTTCTTGTTCATATGTACAAAACAAATGCGCAGTGATGCATACAGAGAGGGAAATAAAATGACTTTATAGTCATTTCAGTGCATCCCAGTCATAAAAATTAGAGGTGCAACCCAGCATACCATTTCTGAAATCAATGGTACGTTCAGTTCTTATTGCTCAGCGGTGGATTGTGTTCAATTGATTGAACATATTTAGTTTTTAGGTCCTGGTCGTTGAATTAAGTTTGATGTTTTTATTAACAATTCTGAACTTCAGTGCGTTGTTTATGATGTTCTTTGGTGTCAATAATTAAGCTTTGTGATCTGAATTAGGGGTTCTGATTAACTTAATCAACTGAGCATACGGTGAACTTCATAGGTTAAACGCATATATTTCGAATGTAACAACTCTGTTTACACTGTTAGGTTGCATGTGTGTGATTTTTGTCCACTGAATCGAAAAATGAGTCTGTCACGCTGCATTACAGTTACAACCATAACTGTTCATTTAAGTTTTCAGAATTTCTGACCTTGTACAAGTATATCTTGTAATGAAACTGAATGATCGGTGTCTAGCTATTACTGTCACTATCTGGTCAACAAAGGACACAATTCCTTGTCATGCCATACTTCTTTTTACCATTCTCTTTCTCCTTTCCTCTCAGGTACACCCCCACACACCAGTGTTGTCTATGAATAAGAGGGTATTAGAAATGAAGACTCTTGTGTTCAATTGCTAGCTCAGCAATACTGGCAGACATCTCAGTTGCAGCTTCTTGGCTGTAGAATTGGAAATGTAGTACTCTGGGTTATAGGAATATTTTGAGGCTGACAAGATATAAATAGTATCCTGAAGGTTATATATATATTCTGCATTGCTGTTCATTACTCTAATGCTGATATCTAGCAAGACTGATTTCAAAGATCAATCAATCAATCAATCAATCAATCAGAAAACACCTGAAGAGCTAAATACAGCCTTAGTTCTTCCAGGATTTACAATTCTATAAGCTTATACTTATAGCGCAGAGGAGTAAGATTATTAAAACCATTGTTTAAACACAGAAACCTGTCTCAAATTGTTTCAGTCAGCATGGCTCTGTCGAAACCTCTCAGAAGCAGATTGTTCCTGTATTTTAGGGTTATTTTCTAAATCTAAATCTGAATGAATTTATTATATTGGAAGTACTTCATTAATGACTGTAAATGTTTTTATTATTGTACATAGTATAATTGGAAAACTTGTTTTAATTTTTCAGCTGTACAGGGTTCAGGTCTCGTTTTTAGAACTGTGGAGGTTACGTTACATAAAGAAGGGAACACTTTTGGGTTTGTAATAAGAGGTAAGTTCTTCCAAACACTTCATTTCTTGAGCTTTCTGTTCCTTATAAGCCTATTCTGTCTACCTTTCCCCTTTCTCTCCACCTATTTGTCCCACAGCAGAGCTGGTAAATATGTCCCTTGTCCTACACAGTTTAAGAATCACAGTTCGTACTGTTAGTTGTATTCTAATATCTAGATTAAGGCCAGTAAAGTGAGCATTTGCCAATATTTGGCTCCTTGAACCTTGTTTTTTAAAAAGGTTTATTATTTACATTTTTATTCCACCTTTCTGCCCACGGCAGTCTTGACAATCTGAATAAAAGCACAGTAAGCAATAAAATACTATGTAGCAACATATAAACAGAAGAAGTAAGCACCAGTCAGTACCATACCAAAAAATAATAAAACACCAAAAATTGAAAGTAACTTCATGTCTATATTACTGTAATATGCTCTATATGTGGGACGACCCTTGAAGACAGTCCAGACACATCTGTTTACTCAGGACTTCGGCAGAATTTAATTGGATTGTGCAAGGCTGTACGGGTTATTATTGACTCTTCGGTTTTATTTTTTCCCAAGTGCAGGTTTTTTAAGAGATCTTGGTTGTTTCATTGTAGGTTTTAGCATTTTAATTGTGTTTAATGCTTGTAAACCACTGTGGGATCTACATGGATGAAGAACAGTTTTGAAATTCCAGAAATAAATAAAATAAACAGAGAGAGATCGCCTGTCTAAGTAAGAAGAATACTGAAGAGAGATCAAGACATGCACCCCTATAATTCTAAAAACAGGATGCACCCAATGAAAAGACCCTCTCCCATATCCCTGCCTCAGATGTTGACAGGAATACGAGAAGTATCTCTTTTTGTAGATCTCAGAATTCAGGCAGGCTCATAAAGGAAAGGGCTGTCTGTATGGTAACTACTTCCGACCTACATAGGTTGCGTATATTGATTTCAGTATTTACTGTCCTGCTCCAATTTTTCAGCTTGAAATTAATATAATGAGAATTTAGCCATCACTAAGTACCATTCCTTTGCTTTCAGTGGGACTTGGGCACAGCTAACCTGAGCTGGATTGTGTTCAGCCAGCCCCCCTGAACTAACAATACACCACGGAGTTACTTCACTGGCCTTGAAGTTGGGCGGTTTATTGGGGACGGGAAGAGGGTTTTCTGTTAGTGTCTGCTGCAGATTTTTCAGGATGGTTGCTTTGGAAGTGACATGGAGTAGCAAGAAGATACCAATTTCATTCTCTTTTCCTAGGTGGAGCACATGATGACAGAAATAAATCTCGTCCTGTTGTAATAACATGTGTTAGACCTGGAGGACCTGCTGACAGGTACAATCCGTCTTCTGCAGAACATGTACACACACACACATACATATACGAGAGAAAAGGATATACAAAAAGCTAAAGGATAAATTGTTTGGTGGGAGGTGCCAGTTAAGACAGATATCTGCAAAGCACAATAGACACATTCGTGTCTTATCCATTGTGCCTTATAAATTATACATTTTATTGTATTAGTAATAATAGGTATTGGACAAGACTACATGGAATGAATTTTAATTGAGAGACTCAGCTTGTTTTGTGTTAAGTAGGGTTTAATCATTTCTGAATGCTTCAAGAGGAATAGAACACACTTTGCAGTATGCAAATTTAGTTTATCTTGTAACTTTCCTATTGTTAAGCTTTAAGGTGTTTTTTCCTATCATTTCAAGATTTTTTCTTTCACTTTGGAAGAAGGGTTCTGTATTAATTTTTTTTTAATGTCCAAACACTAACTCCTTGCAGGTTTTGTTGGTACTTTACTTAATACATATTTAATAGTAGTAGTTGTCATTGTCATCACAGAATTTATATCCTGCCTTTTCTCTAGGGAGGTCAAGGCACCACATATCCCCTTCCCCCTTTTTTATTTTCACAAGAATCCTGGGAGTGATATTAGGCTGAGATGTAGACCAAACATCACCCAGTGGGCTTTGTAGTTGAGTGGGAATTTAGCTTAAGGGTCTTCTAGTGCATGTAAACATTTTGGAGGAGGCAGAAATCTGAAATCTCTTAATAATGCCATTGATTTTTCTTGTGAAGAATGTTTGTTTGCAGTCAACCAAGATGATTCAGTGATTCTTTGTGATTGCTCTAACTCACTTGCCATTCTGCTCAGTCATAAGCCACCTTTGTGTTTGCTAAGAGCATATCCTTCATAGATGTTGATGAGGAATCTCTCCCCTCCCCCTGTTTTTTATGCCTGCATGCACATCACATTTGGAATGGGGCAAATACTATGAAAGACAAGTAGTTTGGGAAATCTCTTGCCTCTTCTTTTATAGCTGAGAGCATGTTGTGATCCATACCAAGGCCAGAAAAAAACACTAGTCAATTTCCTTTCAACTCGCAAGGGAGGAAATCAAGAACTTGAAAAATTGGCTGTGAAGTTAATGAGCCTTTCACTGTTTACAACTTCCCCCTGATAAACAGGGATGGGGAACCGGTGGCCCTTCAGATGTTGTTGGACTCCAACTTCCAACCCCTAACCACCATGCCCAACAGTCATGACCCATGCATGCTGTCGTCCTATAATATCTGGAGGACACCAGGTTCCTCACCACTGCTTAAAATTTTGACTATGACAGGTTGATATTATAGATTGCTATCTTTCATACCAGCCACAGATATTGGCTAAGGGCACTCCTGTAGTGTGGCAATGAAACATTCAAGGGCAAACTTATACTTCCCACTGCTCCCAATTCAACATGTTAGAAGGGATGACAAAGTGTTTCATAGCTTGCCTAACCTGGTGTCCTTTAGATACTTTGGAGAGGTCTACAGCTTCCAGCATCTCTGACCACTAGCCATGTTGGCTGGGTCTGACATTGTGCTGCAAAATATACGGAAAGTGCCAACCAGGTTGAGGACGGCTGGCTTATACAGTAGTTGTTGTTGTTGTTTAGTAGTTTAGTCATGTCCGACTCTTCGTGACCCCATTGGACCAGAGCATGCCAGGCACTCCTGTCTTCCACTGCCTCCCGCAATTTGGTCAGACTCAAGTTGATAGATTCGAGAACACTATCCAACCATCTCATCCTCTGTCGTCCCCTTTCTCCTTGTGTCCTCCATCTTTCCCAACATCAGGGTCTTTTCCAGAGAGTCTTTTCTTCTCGTGAGGTGGCCAAAGTATTGGAGCCTCAGCTTCATGATGAGCACTCAGTGAGCACTCAGGGCTGATTTCCTTAAGAATAGAGAGGTTTGATCTTCTTGCAGTCCATGGGACTCTCAAGAGTCTCCTCCAGCACCATAATTCAAAAGCATCAATTCTTTGGCGATCAGCCTTCTTTATGGTCCAGCTCTCACTTCCATACATCACTACTGGGAAAACCATAGCTTTAACTATACGGACCTTTGTCGGCAAGGTGATGTCTCTGCTTTTTAAGATGCTGTCTAGGTTTGTCATTGCTTTTCTCCCAAGAAGCAGGCGTCTTTTAATGTCATGACTGCTGTCACCATCTGCAGTGATCATGGAGCCCAAGAAAGTAAAATCTCTCACAGTAGTAGGAAGTACTAAATGTGCCTGTAATCATATTATTCTGACCTTCTGCACATGGCAACAGAGAAATTGCTGTGACCACCTAGATCTTGCTACAGGAGATGCCTCCAGGTATTGGTTATAAAGCAATGTGGATGCCTTGGGCAGTTTACTTTGTGTCCTGAAGGTGACCTGAGACTGATTCACAATTCTGGAACCCATTTCCTGTTGGGAGGTGCCAAAAATGAAAACTCTGATATTCCAGGGTAGACTTTTATACTTAGCCTGGTATTTAATGGTCAGAGATGCACAGGCAAGTGTGATATTTTACTAACCTATATACTGATAAATATTTTTTGTGCTGTTGTGGAGCCCTAACTGGAATAGGCACATGTTTATTTGAGGGTGGGAGGGAATATTTGTTGCACTTCCTCACAATGTCCATGTTACTTAGCAATGTGCTGCTATTTCTCCATCACTGATTTTCGGATGAAAGCAATTCCCCTTTTGCTAGTGATCCCTGAACTGTATTGCTGTCGTAATCGATATTAAGAGAAAAGGCAGCTGCACCGAATGTCAGAAGAGAGTGTTAGGGAACCACTTTGCATATGCCTACTGTCTCCAAATTGCATTATATCAAATTAATAATGAGTGTCCTTTTAATCTTCTTTCAGGGAGGGGACAATAAAGCCTGGTGACAGGTTGCTTAGCGTTGATGGAATTCGTCTGGTCGGGACATCACACAGCGAAGCCATGAGCATTCTCAAACAATGTGGGCAAGAAGCAACTCTGCTGATAGAATACGATGTCTCGGTTATGGGTATGTTGAAATGCTGAGCTTTCATTCTGGGAGCCATCTGTGACATTTTACTGTCCATCCTTTAGAGGCTACTTGAACAATGATTATGACCCGTTATGCCTCTAGTAGCACAGATATTCCCATCAGCAGCATCTCATTAATCTCTCTTGGTTCGTGGAGAGGTGAACAGTATTTTATTGTAATTTAGAGTCTGGCTGTTTCATGGTTTGCAGAGTGAGAGCTTATCATAGTTCCTAGCAAGGCGGTAACTCTCAGTTATTCAAGTGAGGTTTACTTGTACAAAGGAGATTATGGTGCATTGGTATTTCTCTCAAAACAAGTTTTTTTAAATAAAAAACATGCTTGCGTAGTGTGACACTAACTTTTATGTGTGTTTAGTGACAGACAAAGCCAAAACAACAACAAAACTGGGGGAAACCCTAAATCCTGGAATCAAGACAGAGAAAAGTGTCATTTTTCTCCTTAAGAAACCTACTTCAAATTATGGTTTGCAGATGCTCTTTAGAAGATTATGGAAGGCTAAATGTCTTTCCAAGTATACAAGATAAATAACATGGCAAACTATACTTGCCTTCAGAAAGGATGGTACAAAAATTTCATCCTTCATTTAGTAGCCCATGGAAGTTACATAAAACAGCATGGACTTTATAGCTTTTTCATTTTTTATGGTAGGCCTTACACAAGGCCATCGAATGGAAGATTAACTGCATCTTCTTATCAATAAGGGATTTAAAAGTCTCCTCAGGAACAAGAAAAATACGAGGCAAGTCAATTGGCTTTGTGAGATAATACCCATGGGGCACTTTTCCTTGTGATATTCTTCACTGAATCTAATTATTCTGTTTGGGAGTATAGCTGTTACTAGATAAGAGTATAGCTGGAGAATGTGCCCTTGTATGGAAAATTATTACTTGAGACTCCTAACCTCCTAAAATGGTCATACTAGAAATTCTATTATCTATGGCTAGTCAGGTAGTTGCACTTCTAGTATGAAGCCTAACAGCATAGGTTTTTTAATGGGTTATGTCAAGGGCCAGATGAATTATATTTAAGGAAAAACTTTTTAGCACTAAAAACTCAAAAGAAACATCTGGATGCAACAAAACTTAAATATGCAAGAATGGTCTGGTCTTCCCAATTCAAAGAATAGAGTTTTAAACAAGATCAGTAAAGAAATTATGCCAAGGACTGTTTCAGGTGTTAGTTTTTTTAATTTGTTAGCTGCCTTTCCAAATATAATATTTTCCCAAGGCAACAAACAGCGTCTGATGAAATCAGCTTAAAAGCATATGCAATATTACAATAAAATACCATAACATAGTAAGCAGGACAAATACAACCACAGCATCTATTTCAGCAAATCTCCTAACAAAGATGAAACAGATGACCAAGAACAAAAAGTACTTGTTTTACTCCCCCAATCAAAAGCAAACTTATAGCCCTTATAAGGGATTTGCCTGAATAAACATGTCTGGATAGATACTCACAGGGTTCCAAGAAACTTCAGCAGCTTTTGCAAAAAAATGAAATGTTTGCATAGTATCCAGTTAGTTGTTCAGGTCCTGAGTTTCTTCCTCTCAACACAGAACCAAGATGGAACCTTTCATTTCTCATAGGCCTATTTACAGGGAAAATTGATCCAACCTAAAATGTGATTAGACTTTAAGAGTTTGCCACCTCGTTGCATGTCTGGGCCAGCTGCACACCAGACTGTGAACTGACAGGCATTCATACACTGCCCTTCATCTGCAGAGAAAGTTGGCAATTACATCCTAAAAACTACCGCATTTTTCGCTCTATAGGACGCATTTTCCCCCCTCCAAAAATTAAGGGGAAATGTGTGTGCATCCTATAGAGCGAATGCAGGCTGTGCAGCTAAGCCTAAAGCCAGAACAGGGAGACGGAGTGCTCCGGAGCGCTCCGTCTCGCTGTTCTAGCTTGGGGATGGCTGCGCAAAGCCTCCACAGTGACCCCGCTGCCCTGCGGACGCTCCAAAGGCTGTGCCCGAAGCCTGAAGCCTTTGGAGCTCCAAAGGCTTCAGGGATCTTTGAGGCTGGCGGTGGGGGAAAGCAGCGCTTCCCCCCACCGCCAGCCCCACAAGCTTGGGGGGCAGCGGGAACGCGGCTCACTGCCTTTGTGCTGCTCCCCGACCTGGTCTTTGAGGCTGGTAGTGGGGGAAGGTAGTGCTTCCCCCCACTGCCAGCCCCAAAGAGTAGGTCCAAAGGAACCTAAAGCCTCCGGAGCCCAGAGGGAACTCCCGCCGCGCTCCAGAGGCTTTGGGTTGCCTTCACTGAAGCCTGGAGAGCGAGAGGGGTCAGTGCGCACCGACCCCTCCAGAGGCTTTGGGTGAATGCACCTTGAACGCACCTTGTTTTAGAGGGGGAGAACAAGAAGAAAAAAATTTCCTGTTCTCCCCCTCCTATGGTCCGGTGCGTCCTATGGTCCAGTGTGTCCTATAGAGCGAAAAATACGTAATGAGCTATATTCAAATCAAAATGCTCTGTAATTCATGTTGACTAATCTAGCCATCCACTCTTCATTCTCTAAATGCACTCCTTTTACCAGTCTGGGAAGAGATTACCTTCTGTTTTTTTATGGCTTTATGATTCAGAGTTTGGTTTTGAAACTCAGACAAATGATGGTAGTTCCGTGAACACAGCCGTCTGCTTTCTGCTTGCGAGAAGAGTTTAGATCATTATGCATACACATCACATATGCATTGAGCACTGTGCCCTTGATGAGGAACCTGCTCTCTGAAGTACAGCTGGATGACAAATGTTCAGGCTGTGGGGATGCTGTATCTCCCAGAAATGCAATGGGTTGAAAAGATTGCACCAAAGATAAGATAGTTTGCCCTTCATTTACAGTGGTACCTTGGGTTAAGTACTTAATTCGTTCTGGAGGTCCGTTCTTAACCTGAAACTGTTCTTAACCTGAAGCACCACTTTAGCTAATGGGGCCTCCTGCTGCTGCCACGCCGCTGGAGCACGATTTCTGGTCTCATCCTGAAGCAAAGTTCTTAGTAGAGCCAGTGTGGTGTAGTGGTTAAGAGCGGTAGTCTCGTAATCTGGTGAACCGGGTTCGCTTCCCTGCTCCTCCACATGCAGCTGCTGGGTGACCTTCGGCCAGTCACACTTCTTTGAAGTCTCTCAGCCTCACTTACCTCACAGAGTGTTTGTTGTAGGGGAGGAAGGGAAAGGAGAATGTTCGCCGCTTTGAGACTCCTTAGGGTAGTGATAAAGCGGGATATCAAATCCAAACACTTCTTCCTCTTCTTCTTAACCCGAGGTACTATTTCTGGGTTAGCAGAGTCTGTAACCTGAAGCGTTTGTAACCCGAGGTACCACTGTATTTATGTTTGTTTAACACGCTTTAAAATATACCAAATAAAAAAATTTTTAAATGTCCAGTAGCACCTTAGAGACCAACTAAGTTTGTTCTTGGTATAAGCCAGGGGTAGGCAACCTAAGGCCCATGGGCCACAAGTGGCCCATGGAGGTCGTTTAACCAGCCCACAAGCTGCCCCCGAACCGAGCCGCCCACTTGGCATGTCCCCATGCGCTGCGCTAAACCAGCACTGAAAATCGCATCTGCACATGCACAGACGCCGGAAATCGCGTATGCGCAGACGCAGATGCTGGAAATCACACGCACGTGCGTTCACGCACACACACAATCCGACCCACAGAGGGATCTCTGCTGGAGTGAACTGCTGCGCTAAACCAGCACAGCGCGGGGACTCACTTCCACAACGCCGAAAATCACGGGCACATGTGCTCGTGCGCATGCGTGATCCAGCCCATGGCGGGATCACGGGACCAATCCGGCCCAGGCAAGATACACCTTGCTGACCCCTGTTCTTGTTGCTCTTTGCTCCTGGGCTAAATTATTAAGCTCCCTAATACTCCACTGAATATATTGTTTTCAGTGGGCATTCTTATTTGGTCTAATTAGTTATCTGCAAACAGAAGGTTATGGGGAAGGGAGTACTTTTAACTCACCTATAGGTATTCAAACATTGTGTTGTGTCTTATCTTTTTAAAACTTCAAGTCCTCCCCAAAAGAGACGTAAAAAGAGTTTAGTTTGCATACTACAAACTTGCAAATGGCGCTAACAGGACCAATTAACATTTTTCTCTAGCACTTTTGAAACATAGGCCTCATTAAAATCAGTTGCATAAGCATTGTTCCCTGTAGGAAATGGACTATAAAGGTGAAATGAAATTTAATTATTGCCAAATAAGTACAAGTAAAGTTTCATTATCTGAATTAACAAGAGGGGGGGCATCAGTTCATATTGTTAAACCCACTTACATTACAATAATATATTTAAGCACTCCCCATTTGAGGGGCAATGCTGGAGCAGGACTTTGTTTCCTTAGGATGAGGGAGCGTTGGGGACTTTTGTGGCCATATTCAGGCCATCATATATTAGCTAAATCATGTCTCAGTCCAGATATGTACAATTTTTTTACGGTCGTTCTTTCATTTCTCCTTTTGCAGCACAAAGTTAGGAAGTCGATAATTAACCATGATGTCATGTTTCATCCAAACCAGGAGAGCTATGGTTATCACTTTTGGAACAAGTCGGGATATTAAATCAACTTCAAAAAATGGTTTAATACCCTGGTTTGTTCCAAAACTGATAACCATAGCTCTCTGGTTCTGATGATTAATGAGAGTTCCAGGTTTGATTGAAGGAGCTACGTTCATGGACAAAAGTCTCATTTATATATCAATTTATTAAGCCAAAATATGTTAATCCAAACAGGCACATATTGTAAAAAGGTATCATTTGCAATACACAAGCAGAACATACTGTAAGCAAACGATCTCTCCTTCAGTAAGCAGCAGATCTCTTTTTTAAAAAAAAAGATATTTATTAAGATTTTCAAAATATTACAAAATGAAAAAAGAAAAAAGAAAAATACAAAATAAAAATAGTTAAAAACAATTCCATCTTTCCATTACTTATCTTTCATTTGCTTGTTTCCCGGACC